GCGACATGAAAAGAGGAAATGGCCTCAAGTTGCGCCAGGGGAGGTTCAGGCTGGATATTAGGAAAAATTTTTTCACCAAAAGGGTTCTCAGGCATTGGAATGGGCTGCCCAGGGAGGTGGTTGAGGCCCCATCCCTGGAGGTGTTCAAAAGACGGGTTGATGTAGTGCTGGGAGGTCTGGTTTAGTGATGACGCTCCTTGTTTGTTGTGTGGGTGTCTGTTTTTGTCAGTTAGGTTGATGGTTGGACAAGATGATCTTGAAGGTCCCTTCCAACCTTGAAGATTCTGTGATTCTGGGGTAGGATGAGAGGTGCCAAACCCGAGGTACCCATGGGAGGTCCCCATCAGGTACAACATCCCACCCATGGGAGCTGCCCTGGGGTAGGAGGAGAGGTGCCAGACCCAAGCTACAACAGGGGAGGTACCCTCAGAGAGGAGGAATAGGAGGCAGAGACTTCTATGGGGTTTGGGATCTGCCTTTTATGGAAGTATTCCAGTTTTGATAGGGCAAGACCCTAATAAACAATAAGGTCTAAATTGGACCAGCTTTGTGAGGGCATTGGATCACAGACATAATGCAGAGATATGTTCTAATCTATATTATTGTGTGAATTTTCTTTATTTTTTATTTTTTTTTATTTTTAAGGGAAGAAAGCTGCTAGCAGCAGTGCTTTGAGGATCCAGAAATAAGGAGCGAGGGAGGATTTGGCACTGTCCTGCTGAAGTGCTGCTCTGGAGTGGTGGGTGGGTACAGCAGACTGTGAGTAAGATGATTGCTGTCTCCTAGATATCTGCCTTTTTTTTTTTTTTTTTTTGGTGAACAAAACAGTTTTTTTTTTTTTTTTTTTGTGGTGAACAAACCTGTTAGGAGCAAGCTGTTGTGCATTTGGGTGAGGAAAAATGGGAAGAGTCATCATCTTTGGATGGTTAAATACTAAAGTGCAGTAACCCTGACTGAAAAATAAGTGAAGGCTGAGAGTCTGTTTGGAAAGAGTCCCAAACAATTATGTCTTGAGGCATGGGAGGTAGGACCTTTATAGGCTTTGGGTTTTATTGTAGGTGATCAAGGCATAAAAGCTGTATTCAGAGAAGAAAAACCTAATGCAAAGAGATCAAAATGATTTCTTTCTCTTGTGCGTTCATTAAGAGGGATCTCCAGCCACATAATTTTATTTTGTGGGGCTTTATAAGGGAGTATCTCTAGATGAAATGCTGAAGAAGCACTGCAGAGCAAGCACAGTGAATGCCACCACAGTGGTTCATAGTCAACTGCTTTAAGCATAGCTTTTTGCCTAAAAGCCCTGGGAAGGACTAAAATGAGCTTCATGTAGTGCTGATTTATAAAAAAGAGTTTTAGGAGATGCCTGAAGAACTACCAGTTGGTTGAATGAGGAGCTGCAAACCACGTTGGGATTTTCAGAAGGCCTTCAACAAGGTTTGCCACTAAAGGCTCTTAAAGAAATGAAGTTGGCACAGGAGAAGGAAGTTGTTGCTTGATGAAATAATTAGCAAAAAGATGGGAAACAGAAGATGAATCGTCACAAAGGGGAGTGAGGGGGAGGGGTTTTTTTTTCTGCCTTTTCTAGGGCCTCTGTTCAACATACCATAAACTGTCAGGAAAAAAACCTAATGAATGCTGAAATGACTTGTTTATTCTGTCTTTTACTGCAATATATCAGTTTATTTCACAAGTGCTTCACTGATGTGAAGCTTTAAAGTCTTTATGCTCATGGATGACTGAATGAAACAGTAGCAGATAATATTAACTGTAGATGAATGCAGCGTGGGGCAGAGAGAATCACAACTTTATGTATTTGTGCACATATTTGTGTCAAGTGTGTATATAATATTTGGGATTGATGTGAACATTCAGGAGTGAGACCTTGGGGTAATAATAAACGTTTCTTAAAAAAAAAAAGGCAAAACAAAAGCAGTTTAGTGCTCAGCAGTTGTACAAAAACCCCCCAAACGTTATTTATAAATACAGAAATTGTATATAAACCACAAACTATATATGATACAGATGTAAAAATAAAATTTATATTGTGTTTAGATAGATAGCTGTGGTTTGCACTCATCTTGGACATCGTAGGCAGATGTGGTGCTCATCTCAGAAACAGGTAAAGGAGAAGTGTAAGATGTTCAGAGAAGGTGGATAAGGAGATAGGGGACAAGTTCAGTTGTAGGAAATACATCTTTGGGGAAGCCTTAGTCTGGAAGAGGTATCTAAGTGGAATATGGTAAAGATCTGCAAATTTGCACGTGGAATGAAGGTAAATGAGGGAATGATTATCCAGTGCTTCAGTATAACTCTTTGATTACTCACTGCTAATGAAAGAGCTACAGCTTACCAAATGAAATTACGGGGTGACAAGTACAAAACAAAAGGGAGCTGGTTTGGGGAGTCCTGGTACATTCTGTGAGGTCTCAAGGCTTCTAAAAATGCCATTGAGTTTCTGGCTCAAACATCTGGAAGAACAGATCACGTGTTCATAAAATACCAATATATCTTTGACTTCTTATTACACTCTTCCCATCTGAACTGGCAAATACTAGAGGGAGGTTACTTGTCCATATGGATTTGTTGAGAGACTGTGTTGGGATTTTGATGAGATTGAGAGACTTTACATACCTTTCCTGCAGGAAACAGGGCAACTTGAGCACTATTTAATTATAGGTGTTTAGAAGGACCTATTTCTTTCGCTATGTGCGTTTTTTCTTATGCAAATTTCAAATGTGATGTATTTGATTCAGGTTAAAATTCTCTCCATACCTGTGCTAACAGAAATGCTTTTAATTCATCCTTTTTTTGCTATATTAGTGCACATTTTTGTATGGAATGAATACATTTTTAAAATGAGCAGAATAAGGTAAAAACTGTTATAAACAAATTCTTCAGGGATGAAAGGTTCATCTTGGAGAGTCGAGGTGGATGGAGTCAATTCCATTTTTTATAGTAAATAGATTGTTTTATATGTTTTTAAGGACTGTTTTGCCTTCACAATGTTTGGGGACTTATTTGAAGAGGATTTTTCCTTTATTTCAAACAATCATTGTGAAAAAGGGAAGAAATCAAAGCCCAGAGATTCTGAGCCTCCAGCTCCCAGGGATTTCACCAACCTAAGTGGTATCAAAAATCAGGGTGGAACCTGCTACCTCAATTCCCTTCTGCAGACTCTGCTTTTCACACCTGAATTTAGAGGTAACGTGTTCAGAATGTTTTCAAAATAAAGTTAGAATCGATATTTTACAGTGACTTGCATTTCTAGTTATATATTAACTGATATAAACTGTGGTGCTTCTTTTACTTCAAATAAGTCACTTTTACTTCAAATATCGCCACTTCTGCACAATATATAAGTTAAAAACATTACATTTTCTTACAGGTAAAGAATCTACAGTTTGTGGACCTAAGAGTGATTACTGCTGTCCATAAAGCATCATTCATTTTTTAATGCAACCACCACAGTTCTTAAAAAAATAGATATTTTGCCATCTAAACACCTTTGTACTTATTGTACTTTATTTTTATAGCTTGAACCCGTTGTAAGGATGAATGATGTTCAGAAATGTTGCTTAATGTCTTAATTTGCAAAAAAAAGAATAGCATCGTCGTTCTTGACGGATAAATCATAATAAATCTTTAAAGAGGAGATTTTAATTTTTTTTAAATAGGTATTTTTCTTTACATTTGCAGAGGCTCTGTTCTCTCTAGGACCCGAAGAACTCGGGACTCTGGGTGACAGCGGTAAACCGGATGCAAAGGTATTTAAAATTTTCTTGTCATTAGTCACTGATAAATGTTGATTTGGAAGAATACCATTTCAATTTGCATAAAACTTCTTATGAGAATGAATGAAAGCCTAATTTGGTGCTGAAAGGCAGTTTGATATGTGATTTTGCAGGCAGATGCAAGTTTTCGGTGCCATAAGCTTGTGCTGCAAAAGTAAGATATTGAGCCTTTTTCTGCTGAAGTTCATAGAAGAGATAATTTTTCTTTGTTCCTGCACCCCTTGGGGAAAAAAAAAAATCTCAAAATCTATACACTCCTTTCTTTGATCTTTTTCTTTTCTGTAATTAAATTTACAGTGCTATGGCTTATTTGGCACTAGGAAAAAAAAAGGAGGAAAAAAAGGTAAAGCCTGGATAACTGCACTGAGGCTGTCTGAAGGTTTAACAGCCCACTCACACACGAGATGCTATGGGATTGGAATTAAATCTTTGTTTAAAAAGTGCTTGCTGAAGTTGATGGCAGAATATCATTCTTTAGTTTTTGAGTTAACGTGACACAACTGATTGCTCGGAAATTTTTTTTTTCTTTGTAAGTCAAAGATAAATATCAAAAATCAAGCTTGTTGACATGGACCATTCTCCTTCCCCTCTCATCCCACCCCACCACCAAACCCTTTACTGAGCAAGGTGTAGCACGTGTTAAATCTGTATCTCATAGCTGTTCTTAGGGTTTAGTATTATTAAAACATCAGAGAAAGCTGTCCTTTTTCACTGTGGTGGTGGCTTAATTTAATCCACACAGTTTTCCTTTATCACAAAACGAGTAGATTTTGGGGAACCAAGTCTGACTGATGTTTTGGTGTGAACTGAGTAACTTGTATTATGAAAGCCGTGGAGAGCGGTGGTTTGTGACAAGTTTTCTACTAAATGATTTTTCTCGGAAGAATAATGTTTCAATTTGCAGGAAACTTCTTATGAGAATGAACGAAAACCTAACTTTGGTGCTGAAAGGCAGTTTGATACGTGATTTTGCAGGCAGATGCAAGTTTTCAGTGCCATAAGCTTGTGCTGCAAAAGTAAGATATCGAGCCTTTTTCTGCTGAAGTTCATAGAAGAGATAATTTTTCCCCTTGGGGAAAAAAAAATCTCAAAATCTATACACTCCTTTCTTTGATCTTTTTCTTTTCTGTAATTAAAGTTACAGTGCTATGGCTTATTTGGCACTAGGGAAAAAAAAAAGGAGGAAAAAAAGGTAAAGCCTGGGTAACTGCACTGAGGCTGTCTGAAGGTTTAACAGCCCACTCACACACGAGATGCTATGGGATTGGAATTAAATCTTTGTTTAAAAAGTGCTTACTGAAGTTGACTGCAGAATATAATTCTTTAGTTTTTGAGTTAACGTGACACAACTGATTGCTCGGAAATTTTTTTTTTCTTTGTAAGTCAAAGATAAATATCAAAAATCAAGCTTGTTGACATTGACCATTATCCTTCCCCTCTCATCCCACCCCACCACCAAACCCTTTACTGAGCAAGGTGTAGCACGTGTTAAATCTATGTGCCATGGTACCTTGTAGCTGTTCTTAGGGTTTAGTATTATGAAAAACATCAGAGGAAGCTGTCCTTTTTCGCTGTGGTGGTGGCTTAATTTAATCCACACAGTTTTCCTTTATCACAAAACGAGTAGATTTTGGGGAACCAAGTCTGACTGATGCTTTGGTGTGAACTGAGTAACTTGTATTATGAAAGCCGTAGAGAGCGGTGGTTTGTGACAAGTTTTCTACTAAATGATTTTTCTTTTTATTTAAATGATTCCTTTGAAGACTTGCTGATTTATTGGGTGTGTTTTGGGTTTTATTTCTAGGTTCGAATAATTCCTTTACAGCTTCAACGGTTATTTGCCCAGCTTCTGCTCTTGGACCAGCAGGCTGCATCTACGACAGACCTTACGGAGAGCTTTGGGTGGAACAGTCAGGAGGTACAAATCACTGTCAGTGACACCATAATTGAGAAACCTTTTCCTGAATGGAGATGTTTTTCAAGTTTGACGTTTAAGAAATATTTTAAAATACTCCAAGCTGCAGAGATAACATTGACCTGGGTCAGCTACTGTTGTATCTCCACGTAGAGTCCGTGCCAATTGTTTACAGGGAGAAACAGAAATAAAATTGTTGTTAGATACAACTTCAGGAGCTTTTCCTTTCTTTTTAGAGGAATATTTTTCCAACAGTAGTTAGTGTTCTTGTCCTTTAAATACTTAGATTCTTAAGTTGAACTGAGCTCAGATCAGATTAGATTTAGACTAAACTCAGCGTTTAGTCTAAATCTACCCAAGTGAAGGTGTCTTATGTGGGTTATAGTTAATGTAGCTACTCAGAGAGCATACCTTAATTAAGAATAACAAATTATAATAATGGTAATAATTTACTACTCAAGGTAGTGAATAAATGGGTGGTCATCGAGGCTGGCTTTGTCACAGCTAATATATGTTGTTTTTAAGCAATAAGCGAAGCAGATGGCCCTATTTTGTATTTTTTTTTTAATCATGCAGGAAATGAGGCAGCACGATGTGCAGGAACTAAATCGGATTCTGTTCAGTGCTTTGGAAACTTCTCTTGTGGGCACTTCAGGTCACGACCTCATTAACAGATTGTACCACGGGATTGTTGTCAACCAGATTGTTTGTAAAGAATGCAAGAATATCAGTGAGAGACAGGTAAAGCCAGATGACTTTCCAAGATAAGTTTTGTTCAGTCTGTTGAAGATACTTTAAATGTTCTTTTTTTTTTTTTTTTTTTTAAACTCCAAAAATAATTGCCTGAAGGATGCGGTGTTAGGTAGGGAACATTAATGAGATAACTGACTATAATAATTACAAAATATTTTTTGGCAAAACACAATATTCACTGAAGAGATACCAAACTGCATTTTTAAACTATAGAAAAAAACTCCCTTGATTAAAATCAATACATTTTATTTGTGAAGGCTTGCTTACAGTGTCTTCTTTATAAAATCTGAGCAAATTAGTTCTGTAAGAAATCCTTCAAGTTATGCAAAGTTGC